TATATATATATATATATATATATATATATATATATAAAAATATATAAAAACTACAAAGAAAAATAAAAATAAATTATATATATAATAATAATATAATAAATAATATATTTAAAATTTATTTAATAATAATTAATAATTCTAGTTCATCTGAAAATTCAAATTTTCCACTGCAATAATATATACAAGCTGTTAAGATTTCTATTATGCGAATTTCAACAGTTGAATTAATATTATAAATAGCGTCAATCTTTCTCTTTCATTCTCTGTAAAATGCTTGTCTTTTAGAAGATTTATTGCTTACTCAACAACAACAACAATAAACAAGTAAATTATTATATCTGATCAATTCAAGAGAGAGCATTAAATGCAGCTCAAAGCACACTTCATGCAGTTTCATTACATATAAGTCGAAACCCATTCACATACACACACACATAATCCGCCTTACTTACTTAAACACATTAAACGTTGTTAGCTTGGGTGTAATTTGTGTAATTTCTAAATGGTTAGTTGCAGTAATTATTTAAATATCTATTCCAACCATCTACTATGCCCTACGCTTCATTTAAAAATCGTTAGAGCTCGCCCAGCTCTCGCTGCCACGTAATTGAAATAACAACAATTTATGTGAAATAACAACAACAGCAACAAGCAAAAGCAATCTCATATATATGTATTTACTACATGCGTGTGCTGTGCGTGTGTGTATGTGTATGTATCGGGGGCATAATGTGCGCCTAATGTCAGATAAGAGCTTATAATAATGACGTGCCGGGCAAACGCGGGTTGCCAAACTTTAATAGTTGGCATTCGCTTGTCGACGGCAAAGTCAATAAAATGTAATTAAATCGACATTGTTATCAGCCACACACACACATACACACACACACGCACAGGCACTCCCTCGCACAACAATTTGAGCCTTTGCTTTATGTATTAATTTTAATAGAAATTTTTGCCTCCGGATTTGACCAAATTTCGCTTATCAATAATTTTATTAATTCACTGTTCGCAAAATTTGCATTTAGCGAATTTATAAAATAAGCTGACTAGTTTTGCATATAGTTAACTCAGCTAATTACCAAGATTATCTTGAATGAGCTCAATTGCCAAGTGGCTCGGGAAAAAAGTAATAGTGCCGAGTTCATAAACTCTTTCATAAAAGTTGCCAAGTCTGCTCAGAAACGAAAAAAAAGAGAGAGAGAGACTGATATGAAAGCATAGCCAAATAAAGGTAAATTATACCGAAGCTCTGAACGGTTCAAATCGACGAAACTAAAAACTAATTTATGCGCACAATGCTCTTGAAAACTATAACGATTTTCAAGATGATGAGAAAAAGAGCGACAGAGTGAGAGAGAGAGAGAGAGAGTGAGAAAGCGAGAGCAGCAGGCCTGCCAACTGCTTTTGGCAGAAGGCAAATGGGCGGCAGCAAAGTTTGCAATGGAACCAAAAAATAAATACTATAAAAAAGAAAGTTGATAAGGATCATAGCAGAACGAATATTTAACACTCTTTTGCTTTGCATATGCCGAACTCATTGATAATGGAAAATCTAGCTAAAAGGTTTTATGTGTTTTTTGTTTTCTTACTTTATAATTGGATACGAAAATATTGAAGGAGATAGAAACAGAGGAAGATAAAGAGAGAGAGAGAGAGAGAGAGAGAGAATATACGTTTGCAAGCTGGCATATATTAAGAGAATATATATCTACTTGCTCTATAGATATATAATGTATTAATTTTTGATATATTGATATATGTATTTTTAATACGATTCATAATAGGTTTTAGACGATATCAACATGCATATGTTTTTAATATGTCGGTATTATTATATCTTTCTATAATATGAAAGCTGTTTCAAGTAAAAATGATGTACGATAGAAAATAGAATCCAACAAACATGTACTTTAATTTGTATGGTAGAGGCGAATGCATTCCTATCCCTTCGATGGCTACTTGAGAGCGAATTACTTTTACTAAAATTAGCTTTTCATACTACTATTCCCACTCAAACTGTTCGTTTTAGTGACCTCTGATTGCCTGCCCCCAACCGATTGCTACGCCTTAACAAATTCGTATACTTGATGTAACTTTTAAACAACCTTTACGTTACACTACAAATCCTCCCCCAGCACAGCAGAACAACTCAACTTGGAATAGAAAATAAGTTAAAGAGAGCGGCCAAAAAAAAAAAGAAAAAATAAGAGCGCAATCAGCTCATTTTCATTTACCTTTTTCGGCTGTTATTCAAATCTTTAGCGATACGGCGGAACCGAAAGTTTAGCTCGAGCTCTTTGAATTTGATTAACAATTTGCGCTGGGCAGCTATCAAAAGTTGGCTATTCATATTACGAAAAGTTCCCCAGCAGACCCTTGAAACCGAAACCCGCTGATTTTAATTGAAATTACAGCCAAAACCGGTTGAAAGGAAAAGGTTAAGTGGCCGTCCACAAGCAAAAAGACAAAAAATTGGCAAGAAAATTCAACGAAAACTTTTGTCATTCCGGTAATTTGATAATTCACAGTGGGCCTATCTACGAACACCAGTTAAAGTCGCCCCTTTCAACTGTTTAATGCAGTCGCATGCGCAAACTTCAATTGTTCCTCAGACCCCATTCGATTTCAAATGCCCCATATATATGCAACATCATCAGTTGTATGACAGAGCTCTTGAGAGATTTGCATTGTACGGAATTGCATAATTCAATATACAAATAAAGCTCTGCCGGCAGACAGGCAATCATCAGTTCATCAACAAGGCTCTGCCAGCCATTGAGCCATTGAGCCATTGAGGTTTGGCCAAAACCAAGTGGTCTACTCTGCACACACGTGCTCACACAGCCGAGCTGCAATCGCTGTGGCACTGGCTTTGGTTGGTTTTTCTGAAAGTTTCATTACATAATTGCCATCTGCATGAAGGGCTCTGCAGTGTCCATTGGTCGACGAGATGGAATTGAAGTGCGTGCCATGGCGCTGTCTGTGGCAAAATCTAGTGGCATTCAGCTGAACTTGTGCCAAAATAGTAAGCTATCAAAATATTGTTGGCCTTTGCCCACGTTTCAATTAGCTACTTCACTTGGGGCAACGCTTGTAGCAAC